GAAGCCTGATGTAGATGGATAACAGATCAGACTGATCAGTGTTACACGTAATAAACTCAAACACAAAAGGAGTTTGAACTCTGAAAACTGAAACATGTACACATTTTTGGATGTTTTGCCCAAAGCTGGATTCCCTAATAATATTTAACTGTCAAGACTAGGACTTCTGACCCATGTGATTTTCAGTGTGGCGTAAAACAGCGGTCCCCAATCCCGGGCCTCACACTGGTACCGGTCCGTGAGAGTTGAGGCTCAGGTGTGAAATGTATGGCTTTCAGGGTTTTTATCGGTTTTCAGCATTATTTTGTTATCGTTTTTCTTGGGTCTTTTCACGTGTGTTATGAATAAATCTTTTTTTCGGTACCGGTACTAGTTGTATTTTGTTGTATTTATCCGCGACACCTTAAAGGCCGGTCCGTGAAAATATTGTCGGGCATAAACCGGTCCGTGGCGCAAAAAAGGTTGGAGACCGCTGGCGTAAAATATTTCTACACAATATGAATATTTTTCCACATGCTTTACATTCATGTTTGTCACCTGTCTGAGTTCTTGTGTGTACTGACAACTAACTCCTACATTGAATGTTTTTCCGTGGGTTTCACAATGATATGGTTTCTCTCCCGTGTGCGTTCTCATGTGGACAGTCAAAGTACTGTTGTGAGTAAAATGTTTCTCACATTCTTTACAAGAGCAAGACTTCTTTCATGTGCGGATTCTGTGAAATTTATTCATTTGGAACCTTTTCACATTTTAAAGACTTTTTACTTGCACCAGAGTCACACTGACTCTTTGATAGAAGAGTCTTTTACATTTTTGCTGTGATGTCAGTTTATGTGAAGTCTCTTCTTTGACTTTGACTCTGAATTTTTAGATGATCCCAAATCTTTATTCTTTCTTTCCTGATCTTTTCTCTCAGCTACGGCAGAGCTGTGAGAGAGGAGCTACTCCTATTATGGTCTATGATCTCTTTCCTAATAAGCAGCAGTCACCATAAAGGTATCAGTCTCTTCAAATGCAAGTTGCTCGCCGTCCCGACTGCTGCAGAGTTCCTCATCTTCCTCTTTAATCTGTGGAGCTTCTGGTTCCTCCTGCTCCAGACTGGAGCTCCTCTCCTGGTTCCACAGCTTCTGCTCAGGGAGAACCTCCTCCTGCTCCTTCATACAGATGTGCTGCTGTGGGACGCCTGGAGGAACAAAAGGAAACAAGAAAAAGAAAACAGATCGAGTAGAGTAACACACAGAGGTAAAGACAGAAATAACCTCACAGACTGACCTGAAACTGTTTCTGACTCCACCCACTGATGTTGAACTCAACCAATGAGATGATTTCTGTCTGCACAAGTCAAAGCACAACCAGCCTGATGTTGGACTGCAGTGGACTCTCCACTTCTGAGAGTCCATATTCATGGAGCCATAGTGCCAGATATTTAATCTCAAACATCTTAAGGGCCGAGCTCAAGTGGCTGTATAATGACAGCATTCAGGTGGGAGGAGTCTGAGGAACAGACATAGACCCCTGTGTAACAGTTTTCAACAAAGTTCAGGTGTACACAAACCAAAATGATGGAGGTAAAGGGGTAAAAATGTTTCTCTAACACACAATCTGAAAGAAACTATTGAATGAAATAAGTAATGACAGGTGGGCTTTACTTTAATAACAGATTCAATTTATTTAATGCATGCAGAAGGCTAACAGCAATAATCTATAAAAATCTATTCAAACATTATGAAGGTAAAATTGAAGTAAACCCTTATCTTCATTTATCCCTATTCCATCTTATTCTACTCTGCTTAAAACCCTCGTTGACCTTTTAAAGCGATGCTGAATGAAAGTTGAGCTCAAACCAGCCTTCCTCAGCTCTGGCAGGTCCCCCTGATGCAGGAAAAACATCTTTGCCTCACACTGTGCTCTCAAGCAGAGAAACATATGTGCAGCTATAGGAACGAGGTCTTTGCTGAAGGCTGGAGGAGTCCAAGGGAAACAATCATCTCCTTGAAACTTTCTACTTTATTATTGTCATTAGTTACTGCTATGCAGATAAAACACAACAAAACAAAGTCAGTCTAAATGAACTAAATAACCAAAGATATTATGAACCAAATAAAGTGAATAGCTTCAAATATAAAAAACAAAATAAAAAAAACGTCAACATTTTCTATTTATTAAAAAACAAATACCTCGAATGCAGTTTTACATCACAAGACACCAACCAGCAACAGTCATTGGTTATCCATTAATAGACAGCAAATACAAAACTTAATATACAAATTGAGTTTCAATCCCCCTGTAAATAAAGACTGTATATCAATAAATAAAACCAAAACTAAAATTCATTTTTTAAGAGTCACCATATTTTCACTGAAGAATTAGATGAGAACAGATTAGATGAAACTCTGCTTTATACATAATAATCATGCAATAAATGATGCTTGTCGGAACACAGTCTAAAGATATTTGAACTCTGAAAGCTCTCCTGTAAACACGTATAAGTCTGCCAATCTTCTTTCACGCTTGGCTTCTCTCCACATGTTTCAAGACTACAATTTCTGAAAATGATACGCTTGATACAACGGTGTGAGTTCTTCTATGTCCAAACAGACACTTCTGGATGTGAACATTCTTCCGCATTTTGTACAACATTATGGTTTCTCACCTGTGTGAGTTTTCATGTGACGCCACAAATGACTGTTATATGTGAACATTTTCCCGCATGTTTTGCAATGATACGGTTTCTCACCAGTGTGCGTTCTTATGTGCCCGAACAGCTGACTTCTGTATGTGAACATTTTCCCGCATGTTTTACAACAATATGGTTTCTCACCTGTGTGTGTTCTTATGTGCACTGATAAATGACTGCTACATGTGAATATTTTCCTGCACGTTTTACAATGATACGGCTTTTCACCTGTGTGCGTTCTCATGTGTATAGTCAAACTACCCCTCTGTGTGAAACTTTTCCCACATGTTTTACAAGAATATGGTTTCTCACCTGTATGGGTAGTCTTATGGCTTTTAAGAGATGATGACACATAAAAACCTTTCCCACATGTTTCACAAGAATACGGCTTCTCACCTGTGTGGATTCTGTGATGTTGATTCATGTTGTACTTATTCTTAAAGGATTTTCCACAAAAATCACACGTTAAGGACTTTTTACCTGTGTCAGAGTTACACCGACTCTCTGAGATACTATTTGTCCCTGAATCTAAATTCCAGCTTCCTTCATGATTTTGGCTCTCATTCATAGGACAGTTGTGATAAAGAAGCTGGTTAGTGTTTGCTTCTGGGTCATTGTGGTCTTCTTCCTCAGCAGCAGTCACCACAAAGGTATCAGTCTCCCCCTTCAGTCCAAGCTGCTCTCCCTCTGGTTCTGGTTCCTCCTGCTCCACACTGGAGCTCCTTTTCTGCTTCCAGAGCTGCTGTTCAGGGAGAACCTCCTCCTCCTCACAGACAGGCTGCTGTGGGACGTCTGGAAGGACAAAAGGACACGAGAAAAAGAAAAGTGATGTGATAATAGAAAAACATCCCCGAGAAAACACATTGTCAAAATAAGACTTTTACAGAGAAAATAAGTGTCATCCACAAAGGCTGCCACTCCAGAAATCAACAGAGGAAGAGAGAGGTTAAATGGCAAGGTAGAAAAGCTGCAGGCAGTGAACATATACTGAATGAATAAATGATCAGTATGACACGACAAACCAACTTTCTAACAGTAACAAAATAAAAAGATTGTGTTTGTGTCGTTTTTATGGCATTCATGCAGGTTTTTGTCTTTTAGTCGATTCTTTAAAGAACTTTCAGTTTGAATACATTTCCAGTACATTTAAATAAATGTTTATATTTTGCATGTGTATTTTAAAAATGTCAGTTGGTAAAAATTTACAGACAAGTGAGATAAATAAAAGTGTAATACTGTGCAAAAGTCTAAAGCTATCCTTCATTTATGTTTTGCCTGGAAAATGAGGAAATGATGTAGCAAGTTAATGAAACGGCAGATTTATTGAAATGTGTGCAAAACCAAATGCATTATACAGTATACAAAGCAAAGGTTTGTACAATTTTAAATATCTGGTATTGATTGATGTGGTTTGGCTACCTTTAATCTTCACCACAGACTGAACAGTTTGGCAGCTTTTGTCATTTATTCAGGTAGTGTTGAAAAAAAGAGTTCTCCAGGGTTCCTGAAAAAGATTTAGAGATATTCTTTGGATATTGACTGAATTTTGTTTTGTTGCCTGTCAAAACCCTACACTTCTTGAACAATGTTGAGGTCTGAGTTCCAGGGAGACTGATCCATGACTCATAGAAAAAACACACAGTAAAGCACCATCTAGATGACCTTCCGATGCATCATCTGACTGTTTGTGATCATGCTCAGACTGAAAATGAAGCCATTTCCAGTGTACGGTGATATTGTACGGTGGATTAAATCTGCATGTACTTTTCTGCATTTATAATTCCTTCAGTTTTAATATGAGCTCCAACACTGGCTGAAATGCAGCGCAAACCAGGGCAGCGCCTCCACCGTGTTCAACAGAAGGCTGCAGACGCCGACTGTTAGACCTCTCTCCTGACCTCCTTCAAACATGTTGATCATGATTCAGATTCATAACTTACATGAGTCCCATTCATGTGTGACTTCATTCAGACTTTTACATACCTGTAATGTGAAGCTGTATTTCGGGTTTCCAGCTGACATCCATGAGTCTGTGCTGATGGTCGTTCTCTTCCTCGTACAGGATAGAATTATTAATAACTTCAAATATTTCTTTAGATTTGGACTGAAGAAACGTAAAAGTGTCAGAGCTGTGAGAGGGGAGCTGGTCAGTGTTTGCTTCTGGTTCACTGTGCTCTCCTTCCTCAGCAGCAGTCACCATGAAGGTATCCGTCTCCTCCTTCAGTCCCAGCTGCTCTCGCTCCTGACTGCTGCACAGTTCCTCCTCTTCCTCTTTAATCTGTGGAGCTTCTGGTTCCTCCTGGTCCACACTGGAGCTCCTATCCTGGTTCCAGAGCTGCTGCTCAGGGAGAACCTCCTCCTCCTCCTTACAGACAGGCTGCTGTGGGTCGTCTGGAGGGAAAAAAAGGACACAAGAAGAAGAAAAGTGATGATGTTAGACGTTGGACTCATTTTTGAAAATCGGCTTCGCTCCTCAGAATCTCAAGAGGTTGTGAGCAGAGCCGATTATACCCAGAGTTACATAAAAGTAATGGCTGACTTTTGTATTTGTGCATTCACGACTGCTGAATTATTGCAGATGAGGCGGGTCCATAGTGGAAGTTAATGTCAGCTGCTCTGGAACATGAAAGCTCGTCCCCTGAGCAGTAAAAGCAGCTTAAAAACTATCAGCAGCTCCATTCAGAAGAGCTGCTGATAACCAAAGTGCTTCTGCAGGTTTGAACTCAGCTGGCAGACATTTTTAACCAAATCATCATTTTGCAACATTTCCTGTAGATACACTGACACTGACAGAGATCTGGAGAAACTGTTGATTGTTTCTGTTTCATTTGCTGAAGTCTTTAACTCCTTAACACCTGGTGTATCATATTTGTGAGTCTTTGTGAGTTTTTGAGACTTACATCATCAGTGGGTTTCTCTCCACTGAAAATCCTAAATTAATTAAAAATAAATAAATAATAAAAATGCAACCAATGCATTGAAAAAAGCCAGCTGTAACAAATATGACACAAATTAAAGTTCATATATGCATTTTTATTGTCAGAAGCTTCACACTAGCCAGCGCTGCAGTTCCATTTTAAGACACTGATAAGCTCTAAACTCATAATTTCATACGTGTGTCATGTTCTCAGTTTATCGCTGATATAAACAGCACATGCTCACAGCCTGATGGCAACAAATGACACCAGCCAGCTTCTCCAATAGACTCTGAGCCCTGTTTTTACATCTATCAGTTTTAAAGTTCAAGCTGTCTGAAGGTAAACAGATAAGGAGCATCTGTGCTGCATCTCACTGAGCAGCTGCTCGGATTTAACTGTCATTAAAGACAAACTCAGAGTCCATCAGCTCAGAGTTATTTACACACACACACACACACACACACACACACACACACACACACACACACACACACACACACACCGGCTCGGTGAAAATGATGCATTCAGGTTTTTCTACCTCACAATCAGAAACGTCCCGCAGAGCTGTGATCAGGATCCTCCCTCAGAGGGACACTCACCTGTCCTGTGCAGCTTGATTTGGGGTTTCCAGGTGATATCCAGCAGTCTGCGCTGACGGTCGATCTCTTCCTCGTACTGGACGATCGTTTTTTCAAACTCCAAGAATATTTGTTCAGCAGCAGCAGTTAGTCGCTCGTTGATGAACTCTCTCAGATACTGAACTGAAGGCATCGTTGCTGCCGCAGCTCACACACTCAGCTCACACACTTCGTGCTCAGACACACGGGAGGAAAGCTAACGGTTCTTCCGCCTTTTCTTTGTTTACTTCCGCCTGGTGTCACAATGTGAAGTTCCGTCAGTTGAAGGCAGATATTAGTGGTTGGAAAACAGGGAAATAGTGCATTAGCGCCATCTGCTGGTGGGAAGTGTGAACGAGCGCGTCACTGAGAAAAAGAACTGATTCTGTTTAACAGGACCTGAAAGTTTCGCTGTCAGTGACTTCAATGAGGTTTGGGGTCAGTCTGCAGCTCTCAGCCGCATGTTTCTGACAGCCTGGTGTAAGATGATGCTTGGTTTCCTCACCGCTGTCACATGTCCTTGTGTCCTGTTTCCTGTTATGAACCATGTGCTGTTTAAACCAGAGCATCCAAATCAACGTGCTGATGTCCTCTCTCTCCTGCTTTCCTCTGAGTCCTGTAACACCGTCATCCTTCTTTTTCCTCCGCCCACTGCTTTTCCAACGTTTCCACCATTTCTGCTTTATCATGCTCTTTATTTCTGCCTCACTCATGTCGATGCTGAAGTATTTACTACACATCCATAAGACTCACAGCACCGATCAACCTAACCAAGTCCACAGTCACATCCAACGCATAAACACATAAAACATCAAAGTTGCCTCAAAGAGCAAAGACCCTGCAATATTATAAAGAAACCAACAATCCGACGACCCAGTGCCCACTCGCCCAAATCCATGTCATGATCATTATCTACCCAAGACACCGCTCCAGTCCAACCACCCACCAGAAACCCAAAGAAACAAGTTCTGTTTGTGACCATTTAGATTTTCTTTCATTGCTCTTCTCGTGGGAGCTCAGTGATGGCTCGTTGTGCACACAGTGCAAAGTGCTCCATCCTCCCTCCTCACAGTGATTCAACTGCTGCTCACAGTCTGTGAACCAGGAGGAAGAGGAAGTGAGAGAAGTGAGACTCAAAGAGGAGACAGAGGGCGACATCATCCAGTAGGCGGGGCTCTCCTTCTGCACTGTGTTCAACCATTGTGTCAATAATAAGTGCTGCTGTGAAGAGAACAATTCTCAGACTGAATGTTGAACATCAGCTAGTTTCTCCTGTTGATTTAAACCTTGTTGTACAGATGGAACATTGGCTGTGGATTATTCTTGCTGCTCTTTTCTTTGGTGAGATACAAACATCAACATGTTTCCTCTGCTTAAATAAATGTGTGAGTCTGATTAATGGTGAGTTTTTAATCATGTTTATTGATCCATCTCTTCCTCTGCATGTTCTGTTCTTCCTCAGAGTGTAAAGGAGAAGACAAAGTGATCCAGGAACAAGGAGATGTCATTGCTGCTGAAGGAGACACAGTTACACTTGGATGTAGATTTGAAACAACAGACAATTTCCCCAGATTGTTCTGGTACAAACAAAAAGTAGGAAGCTTTCCAGAGTTTATACTACGACGCTTCTCCGGATCAACAGAACATGAAGACTCTGAGAGGAGCAGATTTACGGCTACGCTACAAGAAAAGTCAGTTCCTCTGAAGATCCAGAAGCTTCAGCTGTCTGACTCTGCTGTGTACTACTGTGCTCTGCAGCCCACAGTGACAGGAAACAGCAAAACTCTGTACAAAAACCTTTGGAGCAAAGACAACAGAATACTCCACAACATCCACTAGAGGGAGCCACACACTGTTAAACTTGTCTGGATATCTCTAAAAGTTGATTCTGTTCATCTGTTCGTAGCGTTTTGTGGGAGAAACGTTTCATCATCATCATCATCATCAGGTGACTTCTTCAGTCTCAGCTGACTGCAGGTTTCAATCTTATAAACAGTCTGTGTGGATACAGACTGGATTCATTTCACTTATGAAGCAAAATATAAGAAATAACATTGATGTTGATGGAAACTCACATCAACCACCCCTAATTATTATCATTATTTAAAGACAATTATGGCAACTAATTGAACTGATGTATTTACATCATAATGTCTTCCTAAATGTAAGAAAATTACAATAATAGTAAATAATATATTAAATTCAATTTAAATATTCGAAATTGTTGTCAATAAAGAAAAGTGATACCTTCATGGTGTCTGCTGCTTTCTTCTCCCACTGAAACGCTACAGATGAACAGAATCAACCTTGTGGGATTTCCTTACCTGAATATTCGCCCGTGCATCAACACGTCTTTAAGAAAGAAGCTGTTGTGTTGTCCTGTCAGACTGTAACGATGAGCGAGTGGACTGAGCACTCGGGCTGGGCTGTTAGACCACCACAGGCCACACATAGCCCACTGTGATCTTAAGTGGGTCAGACCGGTGAAACTTTCTCTCAGTGCAAAGAAGTTACATATTTAACTGTTTACATGATGTTTGCTGGACGTTGACACTGTGTTTACACAGTCATTTACAGTAAGTAATGGTTTAATCCTTTAACAGCTGAAATGATTTAAGGCTGCCATTGGTCATTAGGCAGGATCATGATTTTGTTGCTTGAGCTGCCGTTACTTATCCATGGCGTTATATACAGTGGGGCAAAAATCAGCCACCGATTGTGCAAGTTCCCCCACCTAAAATGATGACAGAGGTCAGTAATTTGCACCAGAGGTACACTTCAACTGTGAGAGACAGAATGTGAAAAATAAATCCATGAATCCACATGGTAGGATTTGTAAAGAATTTATTGGTAATCAGGGTGGATAATAAGTATTTGGTCACCTCAAACATGGAAAATCTCTGGCTCTCACAGACCTGTAACGTCTTCTGTAAGAAGCTTTTCTGTCCCCCACTCGTTACCTGTATGAATGGCACCTGTTTGAACTCATCATCTGTATAAAAGACACCTGTCCACAGCCTCAAACAGTCAGACTCCAAACTCCGCCATGGCCAAGACCAAAGAGCTTTCGAAGGACACCAGGAAAAGTATTGTAGACCTGCACCAGACTGGGAAGAGTGAATCTACAATAGGCAAGCAGCTTGGTGTGAAAAAATCAACTGTGGGAGCAATCATCAGAAAATGGAAGACATACAAGACCACTGATAATCTCCCTCGATCTGGGGCTCCACGCAAGATCTCATCCCGTGGGGTCAAAATGATCATGAGAACGGTGAGCAAAGATCCCAGAACCACACGGGGGGACCTGGTGAATGACCTACAGAGAGCTGGGACCAAAGTAACAAAGGTCACCGTCAGTAACACACTACAACGGCAGGGAATCAAATCCCGCAGTGCCAGACGTGTTCCGCTGCTGAAGCCAGTGCATGTCCAGGCCCGTCTGAAGTTTGCCAGAGAGCACATGGATGATACAGCAGAGGATTGGGAGAATGTCATGTGGTCAGATGAAACCAAAGTAGAACTTTTTGCTATAAACTCAACTCGTCGTGTTTGGAGGAAGAAGAATACTGAGTTGCATCCCAAGAACACCATACCTACTGTGAAGCATGGGGGTGGAAACATCATGCTATGGGGCTGTTTTTCTGCCAAGGGGACAGGACGACTGATCCGTGTTAAGGACAGAATGAATGGGGCCATGTATTGTGAGATTTTGAGCCAAAACCTCCTTCCATCAGTGAGAACTTTGAAGATGAAACGAGGCTGGGTCTTCCAACATGACAATGATCCAAAACACACCGCCCGGGCAACAAAGGAGTGGCTCCGTAAGAAGCATTTGAAAGTCCTGGAGTGGCCTAGCCAGTCTCCAGACCTCAACCCCATAGAAAATCTGTGGCGGGAGTTGAAAGTCCGTGTTGCTCGGCGACAGCCCCAAAACATCACTGCTCTCGAGAAGATCTGCATGGAGGAATGGGCCAAAATACCAGCTACTGTGTGTGCAAACCTGGTAAAGACCTATAGTAAACGTTTGACCTCTGTTATTGCCAACAAAGGTTATGTTACAAAGTACTGAGTTGTATTTTTGTTATTGACCAAATACTTATTTTCCACCCTGATTTACGAATAAGTTCTTTACAAATCCTACCATGTGGATTCATGGATTTTTTTTTTTTTCACATTCTGTCTCTCACAGTTGAAGTGTACCTCTGGTGCAAATTACTGACCTCTGTCATCATTTTAGGTGGGGGAACTTGCACAATCGGTGGCTGACTAAATACTTTTTTGCCCCACTGTATGTGTGTGGAAATAAACACCCCCTGCTTCCACCGTACTCGGTCTGACTGTAAATCCATTGGCAAAAGGCCGCCTTGACAAAGGCTCCCACGTACAGACATACGTCAGTTAATAACTGACATTTGAAATGATCTCGTAGGCCTAATGTGACGTGTCTGTGCGTTTCTACAAATCAAGACAACTAATCTGAGAGAAATAAGTCAAAACTTTCTGTTCATGTGAGGCTCACTGCTCACATCACTTTTATTATTAGTGTTTCATGTGCATCGGTATACTGAACAAAACTTCTGTAAGCAAATGTGAAGTGTGGAAGATTTTTACAAAGTCCAAGCTGCACTGCAAAACTGCAGGCAGCAAGAGTTAGTCGTTAGCAATTCATCAGCCTTTTTAAAAGAAGCAACAACAAGTCCTGCAGCAGCTTTGGAAGGAAAACATGGATGATGTAAGATTTTCATGTTTTAATCATTTTTATTCAAAAGAGCAAATTTTCTTTGTTGCACATAATGGAAAAGTTTTCAAAAGAGTTGAAACCTTCATCATCCCAACTAGCATTTGTTGGGATGATGAAGCAACCAGCAACTCTGGTTATAAAGTGTGTGAAGCACAGGAGGAGGAGTGACTGAGAGCAGAGAGGAGGAGCAGAGATTCAGGGAGGAGCTGAGCTGTTACTGAACTATAGAAGAGAGAAAAACCTCCACATTCAACAGAGTTCAACACAAAACAAACTTTATGTTCCTCAACATGCTGTCATTACATCACTGTGTGTTTCCTCTGATTCTTCTCACTCTCACAGGTCTGCTCACCTACACAGGAAACTATGTTCAACTCAAATGATTCATTAACGTCAATTATTGATTGAAAACGTTCTCTCTTCCTTCAGGTGTCACATGTGATCAGCTCACTCCAGTCAAAGATGAAGAGTCCAGTGTAGAAG